ATACTTTCCCCGTCGACGAGTTTCGGATGGAAAACGGGGCGGAGTGGTCTATCAAGTTTTACTTTTGGAATCTAATATATGTTAGAAAAGCATTGGTGATGAGGTGATGATGAGAATAGGGTCCTACCTATAGGGTGCCCGCTTCACGTGTGGCGGTGGAAGCAGTGTCGAGTTTTGCCTAACAGGGGATCATAATTTTGAAAAAGTACATGAAAGCGTGAAAAGGGGAAGGCCTTTACGTCTGGTTTTCCAATCACCCTGCTATTTCACGCCCTATGCTAGCCACGCACCACCTCCCGCAGTGGGCGGTCACAGCTAACGCCAGGCGACGATAGCTAACAAAACGTCCGGGCCTTATTACCGCTATTTCGAAGTACGAGCGTGATGTCAATCGCTGTGGGTGTGGACCACACACAGAAGAGATGTAAGGGAGTGGTTTGGCCGCCTAACCCCGACCTTTGCCTTTGAAATTCAGTGTAAATGAGACGACTGCAACGATTTCCCTCAGACAAGATAATTACTCGAACATCGTGCATTTCAGGAGGCGTGACGATTCCGGCTGGAGTTACAACGTTGGTCGTACCATTCGGCACTCATAGAGATCCTAAGGTAATCGTTCGAATATTTTTCGATAGTATAAAGGTCCATTTAGCTCATGTTTAGGAAGAATTCACGGACTAGCCAAAGCGGATATTTAACTTGCACAACAGCGCTCTGACCTTATATCCAAGATTATCTGGCACATTGGGAGAAATTCATAACATGAACCATCATAGGAACCTTCAGAAGAAGGGCATCGATTCTTTAGAGAAGTTTTCCCAAAGCGCGTCATGGGCAAAGCGGCTCTTTTGGCCCATCTCCTCTCCTGCTGACTTAAAGGAGGAATTCACGATAAGAATGAAGGTCGAAGAAGGAGAAATTCACCTAGTTGGGAGACAGGCGGACCTCCTGAGGGTGCTGACTGACGCGCAATTGGCAGCGAAAGATTTGACCTCGGCGATCTAGCATGGCTGGCGCGGTTGGCGGGGTACGCCCACCGACTATCTAATCACTCGCCGCAGGTCTATACGTGGCGAGTGATTAGATAGCAGAGAGAGCGTAGTGTTGAAGAGGGCACGAGAGTCGCATCAATGCTCAAATCAACGGGCAAGGAAGGGGTCCCATTTCTCGGGTTCTGGGCCGTTTCTCATGGTTCTTCCTTCTTTCGTGTACCACTCACCATCCCTAGGTTAATTTGAAATGGGTTGCTTTCCATCGTGAATTTTCCTTTGAACTTCAAAACCTCGCTCCACAACAGTGCGTGGTAATTATTAAGCCGGTCAATGCAGAAATGTTGTGATTGGATAATCTTCGAATTAGTGAAGAGAATAAATGAGCGATTCTGCATTCGTTACATGGCCTTAACTTGACTCCAACCATGCCTCAGAGCCAAGCTTAGATGGGGGTTAGGCTAGGATCACCAAAGACTGACTGAGGGCAAAATAGATCCATGCTGTCAGTACAGCACATGCAATCCGTCCTTGGGCTAATCCAAGCAATTTGCCCAATCTACAGCATGTCCTTTTTTAAGTAGCTCGTGGTATCGCCGGCTGTCAGTCCCACCAAAGCTCATAGGATCGGTTCCTTTGCAAGTTTGTTGCTTTGCTTTTGTCCGCAACACTTCTAGAGACAAAAGCAAAGCAACCAATTTGCAAAGGAATCCGATCCTACGAGCTTTTACCTGCCAGCCCGGACCATCACCACTGAGCTATTACGCTTCATAACTCCGTTCAGAGAATCGTTTAGCAGATTTGGAATGCAGATTCGAAATCAGCGTGTCAGAATGCATAGAGTGGTATACAATCCAATGTAGAACGGCCCATTGCGACCTGAATGACATTCCTTGAGATGGAAAATAGCATATCACCAAAAGACTGAGGGCAACCAAAAGATCCATGCCTGTCCATAACACATGCAATCCGTCCTTGGGCTAATCCAAGCAATTTCAGCAATCACCCAATCTACAGCATGTCCTTTTTTGAGTAGCTCGTCCCAATCGGTGGACGTTGCGCTGCTGCGCGTACTTTTAGCATGTACAGTGGGGAACCTTTGGAGAATTACAGGGGGAATCGGTAACTTCTCGGCGTTTTTTGACTCGTATTTCTTTTGATCACTGTTTCATCACAGATCGCACACCTGTAGAGGAATGTTTTATAATTGGTGTTGAACGTGCACCACCCACTTCACCTCCTGCGTGTTGGAACCTGGGAGCTTTGTGGATGTTGGCAAGGTCTTACGGTGTTGTTTTATAGTACTTCGAACGCCCGAGAGACTTTTGGCCAGACCATTTCGATGTTGACAGTTGTTCCAGTCGCAGTGCCTATGCTTTCATCCCATGGTCAGCAGGTCCAAGGAATTGTATCGGTAAGTTTTTCTTTTGGTTCCGCTTATTTTACAAGATTTTCAAGAAACCACCTAGTCGACTCTCTGGGATGGGCCACATGATTTACATCCACTCGGAATTTTAAAGGGAATCTGGTTTCGAAGGAAGCGATAAGATAAAGAGGGAGCGCATCGGGGAAGCCGATGCGGCAGAAAAATCATTTACTTGGTTACCAGGAAAGCAAGTTGTAGCGCTTTCACGACGAAAGATGCGCTGGTTGCTGAGCAGGTCGAAAGCACTCCGCCCCAAAAGCGATCCGCCCACTAGTTTACTTGGTGATTTGGACGAGCTGCGTTGCCAGCAGCGGCACAACTGGAGCATCTCGATTAGAGCGTGGTTTGGTGGTGAGGATAAACGCGATGCGGTGAACTCGTTCATCCTCGGTCGCCTTATCTGTTGCCTGTCCTTGAGAAAAGAGGACCCCATTGCTTGACCGAAGAGCAATGCAGGCAGGCAATGGTCAAGCGAGGGGCTCCCTTCTCGCGTCTTTTTGATTGCTTTGCTTTTTCCGCCATCAAGCGCCACATGAACACCCTCACGTTTTCTGTGAACACCAATCGTAATCGTAATCGTCGTAAATCTTTAACGGAACAAACCGAGCTGAACTTATATCGTAGTCGGAGTTTTGCAGAAATCGAGGCGCAATTTTAGCCTTTAAAATGTGTCGCTGTATACGTTACGATGACACGATTCAATGTTTACCATACCTGCATGACATATGGGCAAAACAATGAGTTTAGGAGGATTAGTGCCCATTTAGGAATACTGATACCTGTAAGAGCGATCCGGGATACCATCGAGTACAACCGCATCTCCTTTTAACCTTCTTGGAACATTCGTAATCGCTGCCTCTGACATTGCATCTTAATCACTTCTTCAGATCTACTATGTACTAACGCCCCTCAAACTCCGCCACTCGTTTCCCATGCTCTTATTTACTACCACCAGGAGCACAGGGTGCCGTTGTGTCGAGCATAGGATACGCATCCAAACACTCCGCGTTCGCATTGATTGATTAGCGCCTTCCTGAAATGTGCCACGCATTCCTTTCCCTTTGAAATTGCAGTAACTTTTGGTATGCACATGGAGTTGCGGAGGCCAGGCGATGAGCTTTCTAAAGATTTTATCGCTTGAGGCGAGTTTATTATGAAGCGCGAATGAAAGGCTTGGCTGGCTGTGTGGGAACCTGATCATGTTTGATACCGAAGCTATGAGCTGATATACGGTCTGCCTAATTTCTGGTTGAATTTAAATGTTCGAAACGTCTGATCGCGACAAATCTCTGCTTCCCCTGATTCCTCTAGAGAACTCCACCGGCCCAGCATTGTCTAACCTCTGTTCCAGGTCAGAGATTTGCTGTGATGGAAGAAAAGGTGCTTCTGGCGCGTCTCGTACGACAGTTCCGTTTCCGTGCCACGATGACTTTCAAGGAGAATCGCGGATTGCCGGAAATGATCCTTAGGCCTAGCAACGGCATCCCTCTTATCATTGAAAAACGGACCGAAGTAAACCAAGTACATAGCAGTGAGCCTTCTGTGAGCCCTCGTCAATAGAATGTGAGAGCAAGGTCCTTTTAAGTTTTCAGGAATTTCCTTTACATCTTACACCCTGGTTTTTCATTTATGTACATTGACACGTTTTGCGAGTTGTTGACGAGCTTTTATTCGAGCTAGAGTTACAACTACCTCTTCTCGGTCTTCTCTTGTGTATGTGTCCCTCTCCATTGCTTTTGCACATAATATTTGTATATAATGTATTCTGCTATACGTGATAAACTGGTTATTCTTTGGTTTTCAGCGGGTAGGTTCGCATGATGAGTGAGAATTCAACGAAAGCGCAAAAGGCGAAGGGTTGCGTTCATTCTAGCGAGGCTGCCTCAAGCAGAACAAGCCATCTGTATCGCCAAGTCGAATAGGCTTTATTATTTACGAAAACTTGGCTCTAAACTGAGCTGTAAAGGTCAAATACGAAATCATATAGAGCGCATTCGCGATTCTGAATGGATATCGGCACATCCCAAATATTGGGATGTGGAGAAAAGTTTGCCTCTCAATTTCGTCAACATTTGTGCGGGAATGCTCCCAAGCAAATTTATGAAACAGATGTCAGGTGAAAGAGAAAGGATGACAGATGTGTTTATAGATGAACGCTATCACACTTCGTCATTGGCAAAAAATGAGCTTCGATTGAACTATGCGCGTCCAACACGCTTACCGATGCCTTCCGTTTCACTGTTGCCGTTCTAGACGCTCCTCCACTCAAGCGCGGAACGAATTATGGTGGGCGATAGGCAACAGCGTGATTTCTAAAGTGACATGCAGTAGTTGGCTACTCACCTTCATAGAGGAGAGGTTTGCCTTGCCGAAGCTATTCATAGCGGACATCCACTTCCTGCAATGCCGAGACTATTCCTGCTTTCCCTCGGAGTAATACTCCTCAAAGGTTGATCAGAGACTCTTCTACTCCCCGCTCCACCATCCACGGGATGCTACGCAGAAGTCGCGTCCGCACAACACTCCCTGGCGTTAGCCCACACTCCCTTAATTGAACACGAGAGTCAAGTGTTAGTCGACGTCTGAAAAAGAAGAAGTATCATTTCCTCTTGTATGGTACTCTAGCCGCAATGAACACCCCGCTATCTTCCTTGCGTATTAGGATCGACCAAAAAAGAGATCATGCATTGATCTCTCGCCGACAGAGCTGCCAGGACAAGTTCGATAACGATGTGACCCTTCTACTGCAAGATCAAGACGTTGCCGCAGCACCTTCGTTCAGTGCTCGCCATCCTTCTCGAAGATCGTAAATATCTTCACGCCGTCTTGTGCCGCAATAGGGAACTTGCGGAAGAAGTGTCCTCACTCAGGGCGCAGAATGCCGAGTTGAAAGCAGTTATCAGTAAGTCCTGCCCCAACTCTGATCGTTCTCACATTAAGGATGTTGTTGAAAGTAATGCTGATGTTGTGAATTCATCATCATCATCTTTTCGATGAGATTGAGCGTAAACGCTCCGTTGTTGTAGTTGGTTTACCTGAGAGTTGTGCTCCTTCGCTTAGTGAACGTCTAGTTAGTGATATCAATTTTTTGAGACGTGTATTCGATTTCCTCGAGATTGAATTGTTCTCCTGTTACCGCCTACCGGATGGGCCGCCCCAATTCTTCTTTTCCAAGACTTTTGAAAGTTGTCTTACCCTCATCTTTCATTCGAAACAAATCTTACGCCGTGCTTCCCGTCTCAGGCACTTCTCGACTCCAAAAATCTATATCAGGCCTTCCCTTACTAGGGAGGAGAGGAGTAAAGAACGTGCTATCAGGCTTGCACGACGTAATATGTCAACGTCTAAGCCAGCTCAGTTACAAAACAATTGTGTCTCTCCTGAGCCCATTAACATTTCTGATGCTAGTATTCACGCAGCCACCCCTATTATGGAGCAATCTGATCCTTCAAACTCTTAAGCACTCCCCGGAACCTTGAACGTCGTCTATTGTGTTTTTATTCGAATATTCGATCTGTTCGTGAAAATGATTCCAGCCTTTCATATCAAATCGGTCAATTTGATTTCGATATCATTGCTTTGTCAGAGACGTGGCTTACTGGGGACGTCGACTGGTCGGCTGCGTTTGAGAGCCGTTGGCCGCAGTGGTCACGTGTGACCGAGTTTCCCAAAAGGCGGAAGGTGTTGCAATTATCGTCAAAAAACCTTTCTCCACTCCTGGTTTTTCGTGAATCGAATCCAAAATCATACGAGATTTTATGCTTAGACCTTACAGCACGGAACATTACTTTAGGAAAAGAAATTTCAAAGATGCCAACTATTACGCCATCCAAAGATACCTTGCGGATATAGACTGGTATGGCTCTTTCAATTCTACTCGATCAGTCAATGATATGTATGAGCTTTTTATTGCCATTTTACATGATTGCATAGCTAGGTTTGTGCCTCTGTCCTGGGTTCCCTGTCCCGGTCGCATTTACCGGCGTATTTATGCCGTCTATACCGTAAGAGGACGGAGGCTTGAGTAGGTGCCCCTTGAGCGATGCCTCAGAGCTCTGGTGTGCGTTTCGAAGATTGATGTTATGTTTGAACGTAAACTTTGGAAGTATAACAACTCTGTTGAGAAAAAAGTCATTGAGTCTAAAGATAAAAATGCATTTTTCAAACTGGTCAATTCAAGACTTTGTAGTAAGCCCAAGCTGGGATGTCTGAATGTTGATGACGGCACGGTATTCTGTAGTGATTATGATCGAGCTGAGGTCTTGGCCAGTACTTTTGAGAAGTCCATTCGTGCCTCACAGCACTGAGGCTCTCACCGATCTTTCGGATCTCACAATGTTTCCGGTAATGTCTGACTCATTGTGGTTTCATACGGAAGAGATTTTATCTCTTTGTTGCATTGGCCTGCGTCTTATTCGGTAACACCCGATGAATTACCTTTACCGTTTATAAAAAACGTAGCTGTCGTCATTGCGGGCCCACTTCAGTATATTTTCAATTTGAGCCTCATGAAGCCGAGGTTCCTGATAGATGGAGAATGGCTTACGTGACACCGATCCCAAAAAAAGCGCCTTATGATTGTCCTGGTAATTACCGCCCCATTAGCATCACCTCCATTTTTGCACGCACATTCGAGAAGATTTTAAAGAATAGGATTGAGGTCCATATCAGGGAACACTCAATACTTTCTCCTCTACAACACGGCTTTCAAAAAGGAAAGTCCACAACGACAGCCATGCTTCAATCTCTTAATGACTGGACTATTTATCTAGATGACGGGGCCTGCGTAGATGTCGTCTACTTGGATTTTTCAAAAGCGTTTGACAGAGTGGATCATCAAAAACTGTTCACTAAGCTTTCTCTGATAGGAGTGCACTACCGCATCGTGAGTTGGATCCAGGCCTTTTTATATGTACGATTGCGGGTTCATGATTCAGTCAACAGAAATCCATTGACGAAGTGAGTAATTGGTCTGCCAAATGGAGCCCTTCCTTTATCCAGTGAAAAAACTACTGTGTTGCATCTTAGTTCTAGGAACAAACTGTTCCCTTATACACTCCAGGACACCCCCATCAAGAAGGTGGAGCAGCAAAAAGGTTTCATCGTAACGAGAAATCTCTCTTTTGATGCTCACTGTGAATATATTGCCAAGAAGGCCACCACTGTAGTGTATAAAGCTGTTTCGTGTTCTTACAACCAAGAATAGCGCAATGCTTCTACGCGCTTTCAAGACATATGTTGGGCCGTACTGGAATATGGCACCCCTGTTTTCAACCCGCATAAGGTTAAAGTCATTTCAATGCTTGAGAAGGTGCAAAACTCCTTCACACGCAAATTGATGATCAGAGTCTTAGGTTTCTTGTACGACGGCATACCGTCTAGCGAAGAGAGGAATAAAAATCTGCAGTTGCACTCTCTTTGCTACAGGAGGAGGAAGCTTGACCTTATACTATTCCATAAGATTCTCAATGGCAAGTCCGGTCTTATTCCTGACCAGTTCTGCGTTCTGCGGCAAACGGTAACCAGTGGCCCACAAACGTCTAAGTCCACGTGCTAAACACAATTTGAGATTTCATTTTTTTATACTCAGAGCTGGGACAGATTACTTCAAACTAAATAGAACTAAAGCTTTCCCTGTTGGTATTGACTCCTTTAAGAACATCATAGACAAGTACTTGGTTCCGTAGAGTCCTGCCCGTTTAACTGTTGTTGTTTTTTTTTGCGGTTGTTCTTGCGATTAAGTTGTGAGTTTCATGTTGGTGTTTGTTCGTCTTTTTTTTAACTCCACATGAGTTAATCCTCATGTAATAAAATAAATAAAATAAGTTTCCTTCAGCGTAAGAGAACGACGACATGGACGGACTTCACTTTTGTTCACTGTGGAAAGTGGAAGTCGTAGGAACATCCACGCAGGAAATCGCAATGGCTACCAGTGCACGTGAAGCCACAGGAGACTCCAAAGCGATGCGCCTTCACTAGAAAAGAGATGATCTCATTCTTCACTGTTTCAGCGGATTTATATACTGTCAGATCCTACGCGAAGGTACTGATGTGACCGCATGAGCCTGCAAGCGAATGCAACTGGTAGTTTCTCGAGTCCCTATTTTACACCAGTTAAAGGAAAAGTTTATAATTATGACGAACAGTGCTCGATCACACCACGGAAGGACACCAAAGGAGGAGCTGGAAAGACACGGCATTACCTGGTACCCCACCCTCCATATGCACTTGACCTTCCCCTTCTGACCTTTTTGTTGTCGTAATTTTGGGTTGGATAAACAGGCTGAATTTTCTCAAAATTTTTCGGACACTAATT